CCATACCCCGTCTGGTATGGGAGACCACAATCCCGGTAGGGTTCCAACGGACCGGTCCGTCCACCATCTCCCAGGATATCTAGTCAGGCTGACCACATTATACAATTTCCATTTACATAATCTTTCATTCTCCTTTTCCCTCAGTCAGCATTATCAATCACATACAAAACAAAGCAAAACGATAATTTATGCCAAATAGACAACATACAGCATCAATATCCCGGTCATTCAATCCATAATCAATAAAACAGTAGAATATGCACACAAAACTATAAAATGAAAACATCAAATCTCATACTGCATTTAAAACTGTAAACAGGCCAAATAACAGTTAACCGACAAACACACTAGACTCGGGCTCCATTAGCGACCTTAAGCAATTTCACACATTCGTTGATTCATGAAATACCGTTTTATCATTTATTGAACTTTAAAACCGTGATAGGAAATAGGGTGAGGGGTCCTTACACGTTTCGGGGTCCGAACACGGCTTCACAGTGCGCCTACAGGCTGTTCCTAATTTTCCCTGAATTTTTCTCGGGGAACTGAAACGCACTACTGGTACCTGCACGTGTTCCAAAAAATCCCAAATTAGGCCCAGGGCCCCTTTCGGCCAATATCGCAACTCTGGCACGGCGGCTCCGCCGTGCTCCAGCGACGGCGCCGCCGCAAACGGCGGCGGTTTGCCTCAGGTTGGCCGTTTTCGGCCGTTTCCAGCCGAATTCGGCCACACTCGCATTGGTTCCTGCGATAAAACAACCCTACGGCCCTCGGGGGGCCGAAAATTTACGGAAAACCGAAGCTTACCGGCGGCGGTGCTCTCGGGTGCGGCGACTCTCCGGTGAAGTTCGTATTTTGGTGATTCGACTCCGATCAACCTGTAGAGAAAAGAATGGTGATCACAGTGATATAAAAATTGCATTAAACGAAGGCCGGGAAGGGCCTCATCGGAGGCAAAAACCGAGAAGGGGGGCGGCGGCGCCGCTGGCTTTCGGCTGTGTTTTCCGGCCGTTTGGCCGGGATTTTGGCTCCGATTTGGCCACTGGCGAAATCAGCATGGAAAAACGAGTCGGGGGTATGAAATTTACCTCGATCAGCAGTCGAAAATCCCTCCGGTGCGGCGGTGGGTGGCGGCGGCCGGCTTCTGGTTCGTCTTCTCCAGCGAGCGGCAGGCGGCTAGGGTTTGTGGTCTGGTGTGGGGGTTCTATTTATAACCTTTTGCCTTTTGATCTTAGCCGTCCATTTTGTTTTAATCTGGGCCGTCCGTTTTTTATTAAATCTGGGCCGTCCGTGCGATTAAATCTGGGCCGTCCGATCGCGCCTACGCGGATCGCCAACGTGGCCCGTTTCGGAACGACATGGTCTTGCCACGTGGCAGGTCCCGGTTGGCCGGGACTGCTGACCGGGCCTGCTGACGTGGCTGCCGACATGGCTTTTTTTTTTTTTTTTTTTTTCTGCCCCTTTCCGGGCGCTACACTACATATATGTATATATAGGTTTAGGATAATGTTTGTTTGTATGGGTTTTGGTTTCTGAGACCAATATAAAAAAGAATATTATAAGGGAGAGAGTTAGAGGTTAATGAGACACAACGACTAAAAGCATAGAAAGCCAAAGACCAAAAAGAAGAAAAAGAGAAATATGGCTTACACTTAGAGGAACGTTTTTTCTTCTTAGGTGTCCGCAACTCAAAGAAAAAGATTATGATTCTTTTATTCTTTGATTAGACTTTTGTTATTGTCAAGAATTAACAATTATTTATTATTTAAAAACATTTGAAAAACTATTTATCAAGTATTTATTTATAAATAGAAAGATTTATAAAATATTGGTAAAAAAAAAAATAATTTGAGTAATTTTTTGATTGTAAAATTCAAAATTTATAACTAAGTTGTGATTGTTTGTATCTACTAATTTTTTAATAATAAATTTGATTCAGATTTTAATTTATGATTTTTTCTCGACACTAAAATTCTTATATATAAAATTTTGTGTTCTTATATTTTATTTTATATTTATTTATTTCTTGTAGTATGATTAGATTTTTTTTGTAATTGAATTTAATTAAATTTATACAATTAATATTATTTAAAATACAAAATTTCTTTTACATAATTATAAGAAAATTTTTATTAGAATAATAATTTTTTAATTTACTAAAATTATGTTTGTCACAAAGTAAAAATTATAAAAATTAAATCTATTATTGGTAAATTTAACAAAAAAATAATTTAATTTAATTTACTGTAATAACAATTTTTAAAATTTTGTAAACTTTTATTAAGAATTTATATTTTTAAAATTATTCTTATGTCTGAATAAAGTTTTTATTTATGTATAATTTAAAAATTATCATTTAAAATAATTTTATAAATTTTAGGAATAAACTAAAATAACAAATTTTAAACTCAATTAGAATATGTATTAAATTAATAATTTACCGTTACTGTTACGGTGGTAGTATATGTTTAATATCATAGCCGAATGAATGAAACCCTATTTACAGTGGGCCCCTTTCATTCCTTCCCTCTTTTCTTCTTCTCTCTGCCTCTACGCAGCGACTGTACGTGTCCAACAGCTCTGCAAGTAGTTGTAGGTCATCTCTCTGGGCAGGGCGAATAAAAAAGATGGCGAGACCTGCTGCCGATGCCCACAGCAACAGAGCGGCTGTTCAAGCAACAAACGACGACGCTTCCGCCAGTAAATTGTCCGTCTCACGATCACTTCACCGTGTTTTTCCTTTGTTTCTTAATTTGATTTCATATATGTATATATATATATAGATATTAAAATTTCTCTCTCTTTTGTTTCTTTCATGTCCTGTTAGTTTTTCCATTGATCATCTAATTTGTGTGTTTATAGCTTCAAATTGGCCCTAGATGATTTTGTTCTCAAAGTCGATTTGCTTGTTTGGAATTGTCAAATTTTCTCATGGAGTTTTTTTGAAGGTCCTGTGTTAAAAAGGGATACGTGAAAGATGACTACATCCATCTGTTTGTTAAAAGGCCTGTGAGGAGATCTCCCATTATTAACCGTGGTAGGATTTCGTTTCTCTCAAAATGTAACTGCTTTTTGTTCCTCGTCTGATATTTCTTCAGTTCGTCTCCTTGTTTGATATTGCTTCACTCATTTTGCTTTCCTTTTGAGTGGTTTAGGTTATTTTGCTCGTTGGGCTGCTCTCCGGAAGCTTCTCTTTCAGTTCCTCGATTGTGGAAGAAATTCCGATGAAAATGGGCGCACGAAGAAGCAGATACTGTCACTTGGAGCTGGCTTTGATACAACGTATTTTCAGTTGAAGGTGCCTTAAATTACTTGTAATTAAGTGCTGCACATAGAAAGTTAGGAGTTACATCTGTTTCTTTCTTTACCCATCTATCTTTTTTTTTTTTTTTTTTTTGCCCCATTATTAACACTATATTTGCAGAAAAGGAAGGGGAAGGAGAGGAAGGAAATGAAAAATAGGGAATACTCGTTGTTCCTTCATTTGTTTATTGTTTCACTCGTCTAAGATTAAAAATAATAATAAGTAAAAGGGAAATACAATGAGCATCTCCCTTAGACTTAAAACTGTTTTGTTCATTTCTCAAATATAGCTAAAATAAGAGGGAAGAGAAGTATTTAAAAATTTTTGAAGAAAAAAAAATTTATTTATTTTTTAAGTACTTAACTTGTCATTATAGTAATAAAGGTCATTTCTGACTAAATTTTTTGTAACTATCAACTTTTTTTCTCTAAGTAAAATATCTCGGCTATATTTTGTTTTATCTTTTCGATATTTAGTTATCCGAAGAAGGAAAGTATCTTTCCTTTTATTTTCTGCATAAATTACTCTTTTGCTTTTTATTTCTTTATTTTATTTTTTCTATTCCTTTACTTAATTTTTGACCAAATTTAGCATAAAATGCAGGGCACCTGCCTGTTTCATATGTTGAGTGATTTATTAGAATATATCTTTTGTTCTGTACATGCATATCCAATTCTTGGAAAAGCTTCTGTTGCTTTCACTTTATGTAGGCACAAAATTCTCAATAATAAACATCTGCTGTCTTTGTTTCCCTGTTTAATTCACAGGATGAGGGGAAAGCACCATACTTATACGTGGAACTTGATTTTAAGGAGGTGCGATTTGTATTATTTTGCAACAAAAGGGACTAATTGACAATGCTCTAGCACTATTTATGATTCAGAGGCAGATGAAAAGATGAGTTATGGTATACATATTTTTCATAACTTCTAACTGAAAATGTTTGTCAGGTAACCAGTAAGAAGGCAGCACTAATTGAAACCTGCCAGCAGTTGAGGGATAAAGTAGGTGCAACAGCTTCAATCTCTTGGGGTATGTGGCAAAAGTTGAAGGACCATATGTTCTTGTCTTACAACATGCCTGGCTTCTGTTTCTACACCTGAAAATTATGCTTTGTTCTTCTAGTGCTAGCAAATCCCAATTTGGTTACTCCATTGTACCTAAATCTCAAAATATGTTGTATAAACAAGAAAAAATTTTCTCCCTGGCACAAGATGTTAAAGATTTGTTGGAGGATACCTCTGTTTCATGTCTCTAAATTCAAACATGTGATTCTTTGATGGTCATCTGCTTACCTAATAATTGATTGAATCTTGAAATCCTTGTGCCTTCACCATAAGAATTTATGGCTAAGTGTGGAACAAATTGAAAAAGAATTCATTTGGAAATCAACACTATTTAATTAGGAGATGATGAAAATTCTACCAGAGATAATAATAAAAATGATAGGCTGCATTGTCTCTTTTCCACTTGAAATTCCTCTTGAGGTAAACTTTTATTATTTAGATGGAATAATCGCTATCTTCTAGTTAAACTAGTTGTGGATTTCAAGAGAAATTCCGCAAGAATTCTTGATTTGTTCCAAGCATACCTTGCATCTTGAAGTTCAATGGTGAATTACTTCTTTATATGATATCTTTGCAAATGGATGAGCCCTGGATTTCCTGATTTTGACAAAAAAAATTTCAATATTCCAAGTACTTATTCAACTGTTTGTCCTGGAAGAAATTCCATATGTTGAAGCGTGATATAGTTCGTTATCTAAGGCGGGGAACAATGGTAGCAATGATGTATTCATTATCATATGGTCATAGAGACCCCTCCGCAGATTTATTTCTATTAACTTGTAGATTTATGCCTACTAACTTTTTTGGTTTTCCTGATTTTGAGCCAAAAAATTTTCAATATTTCATGCATTTATTCTACTGTCGTCATGGAAGAAATTCCATTTGTTCTTTTTTTTTTTTAAATAAAAAGTGTAATGAATTTATATTAACATGGTACCAAGAAAACAGGGGGTACTACCCATTACAAAATTCCATTTGTTCTTGAAGAATGATTTTATTCATTATCTAAGGCAGGGAACAAGCGTGGTCATAGAGAGGTCTCCACAGATTTATTCGTAGTAACTTGTAGATTTTATTCCTACTACTAGTAGGCTTCTCCTGATCTTGACCCAATCAATTTTTACTATTTTATATACTTATTATTCTGTCATCACTGAAGTACTTATTCTTCTATCATCACTGAAGAAATTCCATATCTTCTTGAAGAATGATTTAGTTTATTATCTAAGGTGGGGAACAAGTGTGGCAGCAGTAGTGTATTCACTATGCTTTGGTAACACTGGGGTCTCCACAGATTTATTCCTACTATTTTGTAGGTTATATTGATAATGTGGAATATTTTCACTTAAGATTTGCATCTTTTCTTATTTTATATCAACTGGAACTTGAATTCTGTTGATTAAACATTCAGCATTTCTAACTTTGCAGAGAAAGGTGAAGTGCTTAGTGATCAATACAAGCTTCTACCAGTTGATCTTCGTGATATGGAAACATTAAATGATGTCATATCTCTGGCAAACATGGATCCCGGGTATGTGCACAACAATTGTTTGCCTTTCTGCCCCTTTAGGATCTTTTATTTCTATCGTTCAGAACTTCTGAGTAAATGATGTCTACTGGTAGGCTTGTTGAATCACAATAATAGCTTATCTGAAAAGAAAAAAGAAAGAGAATGCTAATAGCAATAGTAATGGTAGCTTCCAGGATTTATTTACCCTTTTCATGTGCCTAACTTGGCTAGACAAGTATGTTATGTATCCTTTGTTTTATGGGTCCTATCTATGTTGAACTTAAGGTGAGAACATGATGTCTATTGATGGGCTTGTTGAATAACCAATTTTCCTTTCAATAATAACTTATCTGCTAAAGAACAAAAGAGGAGAGTGCCAACAGAAACATTAATAATTGCTTCCAGCAGTTTTTTTTTTTTGCCCTTTTCATGTACCTAACTTGCCTGGAAAAGTATCTTAAATATCTGTTGTTTATATGTTACTATTCATATTGAACTTAAGGTGAAAAAATATACTTTCAGCTTCAGGCTTCTTCTGTTCTCCATTGCATTTGATCTTCTGCGCACTAGAGATTTTATCCCACTTAGTGATGTTAAATTTCGAAGTTTCCTAATTTTCATGGTTATTTTTCTTCAGCTGAGGGTGCAAATAAGGTTCTCTATTCTGACATGTTTATCAGTATGCCAACATTTATAATTGCAGAATGCGTTTTGATATACCTGGATCCTGACTCTAGCCGTAATATAGTTGGTTGGGCATCAAAAACTTTTTCGACGGCAGTATTTTTCTTATATGAGCAGGCATGATCTAGTTTCATGTTAATGTCTTTACTATCTTTTCTTCATGTATTGCAGTATATTATTACCTTTTATTTGTGGTGCTTCCTTAACAGATCCACCCTGATGATGCTTTTGGCCAGCAAATGATCAGAAATTTGGAGGTCCAAAGTCTTTTGAATTTAAATTTTTATTTTTAATGAGTGGGCATAGTTTGTTTGAATCTTTGGTAGTTTCTTAACCAACTACTTTAGCAGATATTTTGAGCACTGAGTTAAAATTCTCTTGATTGTGAATGAGGAGAGTAAATATTAGTGTTGTGT